CATAATAAAAAAAATAAAAGAAAAGATGTAATTGTACTCACCACACGAGCCTTTAAAAGTTCATCGGAGGAAGGAAAAATTAAAATTTGAAAATTTCTAGTTGGACCAAGTGTTCAATGAGCCTTCGAAATGAAGGTTGCAGCAAGTAATTACTTTGCCAATTTATTTGGTGGCTCTCCTCGGCTTAGGCCTATGGGAGAGAGAGGGTTCAAGAAGTTGAGCTCAAAATCTTTTATGTGTTTAGAAAGAATGGTGTCAATGGATGAGGTTAATTAAGAAGCCAAGAATTAAGGGATTCTTCAAAATTGATTTTCAAAAAACCTTCAATTCAGTTCTATGGGACTACTTGATTTTGGTCATGGGTTATATGGATTTGGCTTCACATGGCAGATTTGAATCGAGCAATGCATTTCTACTTCTACTTTATCGATTTTGATTAACTATTCACTTACTACAGAGTTTAACATGGAAAAGGGAATTTATTAGGATGACTTCTTGTCTTGTTTTCTTTTCTACATCGTAGTATAGGGTGGCATTTTTAGTGGTCTCAGCCTAGGCAACAACATCAAGGCTAGCTATAGCTTCAATATGTTGAGACTTAGGGTCCAACTAAAAATACATGGAAAATTAGAACTAAAGAAAATTTTCTGTAGGAGTTCAATTAAAAAAGAGCCTAATTGAAAATTGAGTTGGTAGAGAAAATGAAGAGATGAGAGGAGGAATTAAAAAATAAAAGGAAAAATGGCAAGTTAGGGTTTCTTAAAAAACCATAACCACCTATACTATATAAACATCACTTTCTCCCTTACACAAAGGAGGAAACTAATTCATCTTTTTCATAAAAAAAACCTAGAAAGAAACATTCTTTTGTAAGAACCAAAAGCCTCTATAGCCACAACTTTTAAAAAGCTCGACACCTACTATCATCCATCGCCTTCATCACCCACAACCTCCCTCATCTAAATATAGCCAACCATTATTCCTACATCTAAATCCTGCCAACTTCTCCTTCATACAACCCAAGGTTGTCACCATTTCTTCTCCTCCTTTATTTTAGACGTGAAATAGCCCCTTTATCCCTAAAATCTACAATGAAAACCTTATTATCCAGCCCCTCTTCTATCAATCCAACCCTTTTTGACTAGTCTCCCTCTTACTCGCCATCATTGTTGCTGCAACTATCCAATAGTAGCTCCTCCTCCAATAGCTGCAACTCTTGGCGATTCTCCTCCAACGGACCTATTGTTCGAAGGCAATCTCTTTAGCAGTTCCTCCTCTAGTAGCTACAGCTCTTGGTTAGATTCTCTTTCAACATCCCTACCATGGCTACTCTAACTCCTAATAGTAATCTATTTGGCAACTATTCCTAAAATAGTAACTCTACCTAATATATTATATCCAGTTGTCCACTCGACAACAATCATTATCTAGCTACTTTTTTCCACTATAGTAACCCTTTAAAACAACATCCTTTCCCCATTTTTTCATCAATAATTATGGATAGTAGACCCTTTTCATAGTAAATCATGTTTCAACACTCATAAATAGCAATTTCTTAGCATTCCAGCCCCACAAAGACAGACTTTATACTCTTTCTTTCGGCCAACTTTCCTTTTTCAATTAGCAATACAAATTATTGGATGCTTTGGTAAGATTAATATTGTTTTGAGCTATATGTTTTAGTTTCTTTTTATCCTTCTTCACTTGATTTAAGGAACAAAGGATGTTCTTGCTTGCTTTGTGATTAAGACGGAAGGTTTAATTGAATTGGAGACAGGATAGTTTAAACAATCCCTAGTTTGTTTTCCTTTTCCAATGATTTCCAATAATCATGCGGCTGAAATTTAGATTAGTTTGATATACTATTGTTTGACATTTTATCGGATTGTAAATATTCCTAAAAAACCAATGACGAGTCCTAGGCTTGACAAGACATTTTTGCAATTGTCTCCTCTTAGGTGGTTGGGGAAGAAAACTTGCCAATGAGTATTAATTACAACATGAAACTTCGATTCAAATGGGTTTTAGAAAACTTCCTGTCTCCATCTTTTTCTTAGTTTTGAAGGAAAACTTACGGAATAAATAAAACAATTCTTGATGAATGCTAAGCTCATTGATACAAAATGACAATTAGGTAAAACAATTCCTTAGGTATCGATGGAGTAATATAATTTTTTTTTTTTGAGTTAAATGAAATAGAAAATGAAAGAATCTCATTTGCTTACCAAAATAAAACTATCACAAAACATTTCCAATACGACGAATCGAACCAAAACACCTACCGATTGAGAAAGAAACCACTAAACCCGGATAAGTTGTGAGTGTCCATTTTTATACAACATAGGCATCGAATCATGCGTTGGAGGCCATAATTCTCAAGAAAGAAGCAAAATTCCTAAGCACACGAACCAAATACAAAGCATCAATACTATAGGTTTCCTCCTCATGATTCCTCGGTGTGCGTGTTCGTAGCTAGAGTACAAAGAATCGTATGTAGATCGTTCTTAGCACGATCCACTTATTTTTTAAAGCAAATTCATATCCCCAAACTGGTCCATTTTGTTCTAATCATAATCCCCCAATCTTCGGGACAAGCAATTTTACATTAGGCTCTTAGTACAAAATTGCACAATCTAGGCGTAACTTGCTAATTAGGATAAGCAACATACTAATTGAAATTGCTAATTAGGACAAGCAATTTCATGACACAACAAGATCATTGATAGTGTCTTTGAAGTATAACATCTAGACAGTAACTTAAGTACCTAAGCATGACACAACAATTCGGACAAGAATTGAAAACTTCTTCTTTCAAGCAAGTTTCTTAATAGGAAAGTCACATTACCTTCGGATTGCCTTAGGCTACGGAGATTCTTTTAGGACTCAAAGTAACGATCGTTCTCTAGTTTGAGAATTCTTTTCAAGACAATTGCTCTTGCTTCCTCGGTCCTCTAGCTTTAAGTCATAAAATCAAAACAAGACGAGTAGCATATTAGATTGAAAATTTCAAGGGAATTAGAAAAGAAAAAAGCCGGTAATGTAATTGATTGGCCATAAAATTAAACTTAGCATACTTACCATTACGGACATCAATGATAAAATCAAGAATTAGTACCCAATTGATTTAGAGGATAGCTATAATTTTGTTTCTAACAAGAAGGAGACAAGGACGAAGGAGAGGAGAAGAAGCACGAAGCGAGAGGAGAAGATTGAATAAACGGACGAGAGGAAAAACCCTAAAAGGAGAGGGATAATGTAGCGAGGAGAAGAAAACCCTAAGAGGAGAAGAATAATATGGCGTTCTTTTCCCTTTTAGAACCAAAAAGAAAAAAAGGTAAAGAAAGAAGAAGCGAGATCGGAAGATGGAAGAAGCAGAGAAGAAGAACCTCGAGTCGAAGAAGGAAAGCTCTCGATAAGATCTTCACCCTTTCGAACCGAACAAAATTAAAAATGAAGAAGCCAAAGAGAAGAAGGAGGCAGCAAATCGAGGAGAATTAGCAAATTTAGAAGGAGAAGCTCGAAAACCCTAAGGAGAGGGAAGATGAAAGAGCTTTTCCCATTTCAGAACCAAACTAAAAAAAATAAAAATAAAAAATTATTTCATTAATAAAACTCGTGCGTGCCTCTAATTAAACTTTGGGGTGGTTTTGTCAACCGCCTAAAATTTTTTTTCATAAAAGTCAACCCCGCAGTAAGTATTAAAACACTTTGAGGCGATTTTATAAACCGCCTCAACCATTCCGCCTCTATATCTATTTTTTGTTGTAATGCTTGGAGTTTAATACTAGGTGAATAGGAGGTTTGTTTTCATTTGGAGTATATAGTTATTAGAGAGGCCTCACAATTCTCATCATCTCATCCATATTGATACACCCCTATGCAATGGTTAATACCCTCGGTAACTTTATCATGTCTCTTTTATCTTGATATAGGTAACGAGGGACTCTCAATTAGCTATAATTATGATTAAGTAATACGGAGTATATTTCTTACATTAAGTTTGATATTCTCACTAATGGCCCACTGCCCTTATGTTAAATTTATTGGTATTATTCGACTAAGATTAATATTGATAACTCTATATCAATATTAACCAGGTCATTCTCCTTACTATATAGTTAATATACTCCAAAAATATAGTGAGATAGTATGATACTTTTATTAAATAGAAATAAAAGTTATCATGAACAAGTTGTCACTCTTTTTGGTAATATCCTATGATCGACCAATCTATTAACCAAGTACCCAATAATATACTCTAATTAGTATACCCTATATTACTTCCTATCAATATCGAGGTCATAAGTTTGGGAGCAAATAATAAATGGAGTATACATACGATATGTATCTATCACTTACCATAGAGAGATAGAGAGGGAGAGAGTCATTTTGGACTAATTGAAGAATAGTTATCACATAGAGATGGGTTATACTAACTCATATGAATCTTTTGGACTAATAGCATTGTTCCTATAAGATTAATTACCAAGGACCCTCACTTGATTAATAATTATTAGCTATAGGAGGGAGAGAGATATTTACCGTAGGAACAATCCTTATATTTTCAATAGTTTACTTAATGTAGGCCACTCTCTCTATGGAGTTTGGGCACCCTCACTTGATTAATAATTAACATCTATTTACATTGTGCTTTAATTAGGAAACCATAATAGTCCAGGGTACTTATAACCTAATCTATCCCTAGTTTATATGAAAAACTATATACATACTCGTTCTCCAATGCCAAAAATATAGGATTCTATTCAGTCTTATTTATCACCAAAAAAAAAATTAATAGGACCATCAAATCTATATGTCCTAAAACTTGGTATGGTTAGGTTATAATTTTGGAATTACCAATACCTAGGAGGGTTCTTATTAAAGGGGGAACATACCCCTAATAATTAGTTATAATCATTTTATCTTATATTTCTATAAAAGTACATAACCTTAATTTTATGATTCTTAAAGGAATTAGTATATCAGAGGTGATAGTTTGCTATCTAATCAACTCAATTAATAGGTAACATTACATGACTTTTTTATATAGAGCATATTTGGTTTATTTTAAGGGTTTACTTTGACACCAAAAGAGGGTATATAAATTGTATACCTTTGGAGCCATATCGATGTGGCCAAAATTGGCTTCACTCGAATGGATAAACTAATATTAAGTCGAGAATAATATGGAGTAAGGTAGGGTAATAGATAATATTCTAAGATAGCACTCAAGTAATAGAGGAACTAAGGCCATATCTCCCTAACTAATAATCTAGTTAGAGAGAGAGGAGAATATTGGTTATTCTACATTAAATATAACCAAATATAATTAAAACTAATATCTTAATTACAACACCACAATGATGGGGATACACGTAATTTATTCCCTAGCATATCCATTAGGATTAATTATAACACTATTAACATAAGAATTCTTAAATATATTCACATTCATTGTACCTTGTACTTAGCTAAATCTGGTCCTCTCTAGCCTCCAAGTGGTCCCCATTACATATTTGAGAGGAGTATATGATAACCTAGCATTATTATAAACTACCACATAAGAGGATTTGGCTAGTGATGGAACCTTCGATAGTATTATGGGTGCATATATACCTATTGTGGTTATTTAAACAGTTATGTTTTGATATTTAATATTGATAGTCTATCCATAAAAGGAGAATTATTACTAAAATATGAATGTTAGATATAGCATAGCCTTAACTATGGTTATAAATATATAAAAGGATAAAATAATGGAGAGCTAGGGTATTAGGATATCCTTTTCGGTTATTAAAAAAAGGAGTGAGAGGGATATCCTCATACTATATGGTAAAAACTATCTTGATGACCATATTAAATTAGTTGATATAGATACCCAACAAAGGAGGAGAGAGGGAAAGAGATAGAGTGAGGGAGATATTGGAGTGAAAAAGCTTGATAGAAATAAGCCGAATCACCCTCCTTGGATTCTTTAAGGAACTATATATATAGGCTAGATTGTTTGATATATACCCAACATTTATTAGTGATGTTTATTAGTTATAACCAAGTCTTACAAGATATGGGCTATATAATGAAGTTAGGGTCTACCATACTAATAGTATCATAAATAATTTAGTTCCATTAGGACTATGTAGTCCATAATATATAGCTTATTGCATTAATAATAATCCTTAGTCATATATATAGGACTCTAAATGAGCCCAATAGGGCTATATATGTCGATTATAAACAGAGTTGACCTATTTTAGGGATCATTAAGTTAAATAGGGAAACATGAAAGACATGCTAGTAGATACATAATATAAGGTAAGGGTCCATTAATAAAGGAGAGAGAATTATTAACATAAATTAAGTATAGACTAGATGTTTTTTTCTCTCCATGTCAATAAGTATTATACATTGGGAGATAAACCCATGTCAATAATTATCAAAGGGATTAATGCCCTAGGATGAATCAAATACTATGGTCAAATATCTATTTAGGATTAGATTTGACCCATACCCCGAACTTAGCTAAACATGGATTACAAAGTACTATAAGTAAATAGAGTGATGGCCCTATGTGAATACCCTTTGGATAATATTATTTAGCCAAAACTAGAATTTCACTAGGGAATATCTTAAGAGACCCGATACATACAATATATTCCTCTAGAGAGGTTGTCGATATATAATATCATTGACTAAAATATTATTACGTCCCTCTCCCTAAGCACTAGTATTTAAAGGGGCGAAGAGAGAAAGATGGAGAGGGAGGCACAAAATTATGGTCTTCATACCAATTGAAAAGTGACATCAAAAGAGTAGATTGATTATCTCTGATGATGCATTGATCACATAGTAAGTTTTATGCCATTAGGCATTTCCCTTTGGTTTCAAGGTTATTGCTAATTCATGTTAGATTTCCACTTTATACAAAATTAGATATATAGCTATTGGGATATCATGAAACCAAGAGATTTATGTTTTCTAATATTTAATTAGTTTATTTTATCTACGTATTATAAGTAATATGTAGGATCTATAAATTGCTACGGTGGTCATGTACTCTCCATGAGACCTATTATTATAAGTAGGTTATGATTAGGGTTATAAGATATGGAGCATATGATGTATTGAGCTAATCTTAGATTTCCAATCTAAGATTGGTTATCCTAATGTAGTACAACATCTTCCTAATGAATAATCTCGCCCTATATATTCTACACAATTTTTGGAGATGTTTATTCTAGCAATTTTTAGCATAGGTCAATATGCATCTATAATGTTTATGCCATATAGTAAAGGTGATTTATTAGGTGGCTATTTTTCAGATCGAGTGACCCAATTATAAGACATAGGGGATTATCATATTGGAAATGATTGATATAAGGACCAATAATCACATTTAAGGCTAATATTATTACCTATCATAGCCCATAATATAAGACCCTAATTAGTATATTCATTTTAGGCATTTGTTGATTCTAACATATGAAAAACTAACCCTATATATCATTAAAAGTATTTCCCAATCTGATTAATATATGTTTGCCTCCAAGGGAATTCCATTGGTTACAATTTCCAGTAACTATAATAAATTAATACTTATATATAAGACCTCCAATTACAAGGGACATATGATATATAATGAGTGTTAGATAACTTATCTAGAGCCTAGAACATAGTGAACCCTCTTTTCTAATAGGTTGAGAATCTTTTCCTTAGTTATGATACATTGATGATCTTGGTTAATAGATAACCAATCAAGAGCTTATAACATAATGTACTCTCTTGTCGGAGTAAATAATAAGAATGGTTATATAAATTTTTAATATTTATGCCAATAATCATATCCATTGTTATTTAGATGTCTAAAGTTTCATAAGGTTGCGATATATTCAGATATATTAGAGTGGAGGCACCATATGTACAATATTTCCATTATAGGGCCATACATGATATATACTCTAGTCCTAAGGATAAGCTCTAGTCTTATGGATGGAGTTATATAGGGTAACTCCTATATTTATTCCGATATATTGGGACGGTCTAACTCTCCTCTACCAATTATCTCATAGTAGACTAATGTGTAATAATGATTAATAATGTAACCCTTTGGATATTACCTATCTTTTCATAACGGAATCATTGTAAACCCCTATTTGTATTATAGATAACTATTGTTATTCTCCCATAGAGAATAAGCCTAACTTTTGGTATTATATAGGTTTGGATACTAGGAACATATCCCTATTAAAATCTACCAATTATATCCCTCTAAGAGATTACCATTAGCATACTAATAGACTAGATGGTGGTATAATTATGCATCCTTATCTATTCACGCTTTTATTTTTAAAGGGTATTGATTTAGCTAAATATATTTACTCAATTTAGTCTCTACTTTGTATCAAATAGGAAACTATTCATTAGTATAATATGTTGGGATATATATGCCTCCCACTACACCTCCACTACAACTAGGAGCGGACGCATCTTATGGGCCCCGTAAGCCCCCTAATTTTTTTCCTTCCTATATTAGTATATGATAAATCCAGTTAAACACTTAATATTTGTTTAATTTGATCCTAGCTGCCTCCAACCACTACTAAACTCATTCGTTCTTTCATTTTCCTTAACTCTTATTCTATTCAAAATACCAAAAAGAAAACTTTCTCTCCGATCTAGATTTTTTTATTCGATAACATAGCAAGTATTTTCTTCAAAAATCAGTAATTTATTAACTCTTATTATATTATTTACATTATTAATTTATTAAGTTTTTCATTTTATATATTGATTGAATCTTAGCAACTCCAAATTTTCTTTTTTAAATAATATTTTATAATTAAAATATTGGATTCGTTGTCTTTCTAATTTTATTTTATGTGATTAAGGTATCTATTGGAATAGTGGATCCATGACTTAGTAAAATTCAGATAATCTATCTACTTGAATTAAAATTATACTATTGATCTTGAAATTTTGTACCATTGTTGTGGTTTTAATTGTAGACCCAAAGACAAAATACAAAAAAAAAGGGAGTTTAATAATAAGAATACATGATTATAATTTATAAATAATCATTCTTTTTTCATTAATGGTTATTAAAAAAACTTTAATTATTTTAGTCACAATCATATGTAGATGAAAAAGTCACATACCATCGATGCATTTTTTAAAAGACAAAATGTTGTCATTTCAAACTCTAATGAGGAATTAAATTCTTCTATTTATTTTTATCGTGACTTGAAAGAAGGAATATCTCTATTTTAAGTGATTACATTTTGAAACTATTTTAAAATATATGTTGGTATGTTATATATATATATATATATATATATATATATATATATATATATAAGTTTGTATAAATCATGACAAATTTATAAATATTTATTTTGGCCCCATGGATATTTGGTCCTACGTTCGCCATTGACTATAACTCATTGGAGTATCATAATCAAAGAAAAAAATGTACTATTTTGGGTTAATACACCTGTTCCAAATAGGTTATTTGAAGAGGATTACTAATTCTCCCTCACTTCTAACTCTTACATGGTTAATAAATCAATATTTACTAACTATTTACCAATGAATTAAGTCATAAATATAGGGATATCGTGGTATAAGTTTTCATATTTACACTATTACTATAATATCTCTATGGTACAACTATTGATAATGGTCTCCAATGGCATATGGTTTTGTCGAATAGTTTGTATCTATATTTACCTCTACGATATTTAAGGGGATTCATAACCAAGTTAAACTATTATAGATTTGTATAAGGAAGAACCCCAAGCGTATGGTATATTAATATCAATTTAACCTATATCCCCTAATCAACACTCATGTACCCTAGGTAATAATATTCAGTAAGTTAATAATCTCCAAGAATTATGGGTAATTATCCCCACATTTATATTGTTATAACCCCTAATATTTAGTGTTGGCATTATTCTCCTATTACCCATACCTTACATTAGTAGGATGGATTTGTAATTACTAAACACTCCCTTAGAGGTCCCTTTGTAACCATGATATTTCCAAGTGATAATAAGGGAATATATCATAATTCATATTAACCTAGTGAGCATTTTAAATGTTAATCCAACACTACCATAATGATACCAATATCAAGCAATAACCTTGATCACTAAAAATCCATCATATATCAAGACGAGTCCCTTATATAAGTCAACCTTATATCAGCCTATTGGGGTCACTATTGATTCCAAGAATAGTAGCTATTACTAATAAATGGATAAAATTAGCTTTTGTGAATGTAATATAAGGGTGACTTTGAGGGTTCTACCCTAGCCAAGTTATCTATTAAACTAAGGGGTTGATAATCTTGGATGAATCACTAGTAAGGTTTAATATCATGGATTATACCTATATTTGATATCCATCATATGAATTGTTTGAATAATCCCTAGTTCATATAGTAGGGGAGACTAATGTATCAATTTATGGATAACCTATTAAATAGGTTAACCCTAAGTAACTCTCCTTATTGACTCGTTACTCTACTAATCCTCTATTTATTTTCGATCGGCTCATATATATCCACTTTCCCCTAATGTATAAATATTCCCTTATCCTTACCTAAAAGGACTAGAGTTTCTTATTGATAAGGTCATAAGACTTATTGGACCTACTCTATTAGTATACTAGGAATATGGTTTTCGAAATAGGGGTTAACTATATACTCCGTTAATAGCCATCACTCTCATTTAGATACAGATTTGGTAAGGTTATGAGGTATTAGCAGGGGCAAGTTCACCATTACAAGGCTAATAGATTACTCTCATATTACGGGCATATTATCCATTATACCCTCAAAATTGAAGGCATAACCAATTTTTGAGCGAAATGAGTTATGATAGAGGGAAATATCTACGATGGTGGCATTCGATGGTGGCATTCTAAGAGTGGTTGAGATGGTTGACCTTACTTGTGTAATTGGATAACCTAATGAGGCCCGTACGAAACCTACCCTTCCATTATTCATTTAATATTAGGATGTCGACTAATTATATGGTAACTATAACTAGTATATAATCCCTTTGTATAGGAGCTAAGATAAATTCCATAATGGAAGGGTTAACTATGGATTAAATATGCCAACAATTTTATCAATTTAGTATATTAGAGGGTATACGTTTACCATATAAGCATAGAGTGAATGTAATATCATTAGATAACATACTACAATCAAATTGAGCATAAAGTCTATAATCCTCTATCATTTGGTGATTTATATCATGGTAACTATTTAGGTATAATAGTAGTATTATCCATGCTTAGATTTATAGGGTATATCTTAGGTTAATGTCCTTCACCATCATATTAACGAAATTGGTACTAAATTAATATTACTATAATCAATATGGTTCTTAGTAATTCATCATAGCTATAAGAATCCAATAACGGGATCTATCATATAAATGGAATAGCATATTATTATACTATTTTAATGTTATATTATGGCCCTAATTTAACTAACTCAATCCATCTTATATATTATAGTCATATAGTGTTATATGACAAAGGCTTTAAGTCATATTATTAACCCTTAAGTCATAATAAGTATTAATATGGATACACCTAGGTTAATGATTGAAACTTGGGCTATATGCATATTAAACAATTATGCCATTATACCTACCATTAATTGTTTTATCAACGTAAATGACCATGATCCCCTAATTATCATGAATACTCTTTTTATAAGTAATGGTCCGATTACATTAACTAATTTGATTAGACACCATATAAGGGAACTAAATATGAAACATGGTATAATAATCTTGATAATTATGCCCTAATTATGTATTATCCTATCTTAACTTCTCCACTTAACCCTTCTTTTGTTATTAGTTACATTTTGCTACAAGGTCCTCATTGTTCAACAATGATAGTACACTCAATATTAACCCCATTATCATATAAGTTGATATATGATAATTTACCCATTATATATTCCCATTCTTGAAAATAATCCCAATAAAGGAGGACCATAATGTAAGAATTTAAAATAGCATAAGTGCTTGGAAATCATCATCTATATAGAGTTTATGACCATATAACTAGAGAATGGACACATCCTGTTGGAATATTAATTGGACCATGCATATTATTTATAGCTATAGAGAACTTCTACTCATAAGGTATACTAATACATCAATTTATTCACGTACATCATGCCTAATATTAAGTGGACATGATATATCCATTCTCTAGGTATACATTAGATAGATTGTATGAATATTAATGTGTTTAGTTGGTATGGCCAACTAAAAGATCTAATGTTCTTTATATCTATTTATAATTATATCCCTATCAACTTGATGTGTTCCCGTTATAGGCCTTCCCCACTAGAATAACCTACTTAACTCGTATAGGACCCAAGGGGACTCATATCATAAGTATTAGGTTAAAGGACAAATAACTAATAGTTGCCTAATTAAAATGTAGTATATCTTCCAATTATTATGAGGGAGATAACTAGTTGATGAATAACTCCAGTCCCTTGATCACACCTTTAACCATATAATTATATCAAGGTATAGTTACTTTTTAATTAGCTAGAGACCATATTGGTATCTTATGCGGAACAAACTATGCGATTGTTTTTAATATGTTGTCTTCATATAGATAATCATCCATACTATTAGGCTTGGACCATATATCCTATTAAACTGATATTGTTTAATCGGAGGAGTACTATTCGATATATTAACCCATAAATAGTATGGATGATTATCTATATCAAGATAGTATATTAAAAACAATCGTTTAGTCTCGTTCCTCCAATATACTTACAAGAAATGAATGAATGTAAGATGACCTCAATAAATAAGGATGAGTGTACAATATCATGAATGTAAATTAGGTTGGGCAATAGTGTAATATTATTAATTAGATTGCCTAATGATCTTGTATACTCTCCTTAGGTATAAAATTAGTTGATCGGATCATGTACCTCCTTACATAACTCTTTTAAAGTTATTCTCATACTATAGTTTATACTTGGGGTATACATTCCCTTAATGTATTATACCAACTACATAATATTTATCCATTATTAGATTAGGTATAGAGGAATAGATGAGATCAGGAGGTACATTATCCGATCGCCTAATTTTATGGCCTATGGACAATGGGATTTGGAATAAGAGTCCAGTCCGTATATACGAGTATTATTACCATATAGACTATTGGTATTTTACCATATAATTATTCTTAACCCGATTAGGATGAGTATTGATGTTCATTCAATAGCTATATGTTAGAGGGATAACTAGTTAGGAGGGACCTATTAGGATATATAAGCTTATTAAATCAACATAATTAAGGACAGTATACCATTGGTAATGATTAGACATTCGGGTCAATAGGTATATCCTTATAATATTAAGATGTTCTTTGGGATAAGAGGTTATATGCCACTCCCTTCAAAAAAGGTGATATAGTTAGGAGAACAAGTAAGGTGGAATATAATATCACCAAATGGGGTATTAGTTATAAGGTTAGCCATATAGCCGACAAACTATTAGTGTATATAAATGTAATAGAATATTGATATGATCTTGTGGTTCGGATGGTCTAAGAGGGAAGGGTCTCCTATTGAATATTAGTGATTGATTAGGGACATGTTAGGTGATATTATATGGCCATCTCTTATCCCATGGACTAGATGTTTTATGGGTTAATATATCGTGTACCTTAAGAAAGGGACCCTATGCGATATGGTAATGGATATCTCCTAATAAGTACACATACATATTTCTAGTTATATCTTCTAACCGGTATGAGTTAATTAAGGGGATTAACTCCATGTATCTCTAGGAGGTCATGACATTAGTTCCATAATATATTGGTCATAAAGGTATGGTAATCACAAAGGTAGGGAAAGCTGATTTATCCGATAAAATACTAATTAATATTAACTTGGTTATATGGTCTCGAATGCATATCATATTGAGACTAATATCGCTAGATTAGTGATATACTAGGGTAGTAGTTTTAGGATTCCATAATATATTGGTCATAAAGATTATGTACTAAAATATTGGGACATAATAAGATATCATAGGTATTCTATTTGGTTTAGTTAATACTCATCACCTAGCTGGACACCCCTATAAGTTATAATTAATGGGATATCGATAGGATAGTTATGACGTAAGGTATTATCGATTATATTACCCTTGATTCCCCTAATCACCAAAATACGTCGTTTAACCATATATTTAGGGAAACGAATAGCCTAAGAATTAACAGTTAGGAGTAATTAATAGCCTTAAGGACGCATATATTTTCTTATATTGTTAATCTATAGCATATCGTTATCATAACTATAATTATGAGAGATTATAATTAACATTATATAAGATATCTAAATAGGTTAACTATAATTCATGATAATTATAATCTATCCCTATTATATAAGGCTTAATAGTATAGGTTATCCCTAGTTAGTAAGTAGGCCTAATACCCTATGATGGTTACTACGTCATCTTTCAATATAAAGTCCTCTCGATAGTTATTAAGGATAACTCAACATGGCCAAATTAGCTCCCTAAATAGTGTTGGGATATCCCCTAATTATCCCTAAATTATATATAACTAAGGTAAACTAACTATAGGCTAAGTTGTTTACCCTATCGTGGTCTAATTACTGATTACGAAAGGGGCATATTGGTTAACCATCCTATGATAGTTATACTTATTGGATACTTTTGATTTCCCTCTTTTTTTTCCTTCTGATAGTTATATAATATCTATGGATCTTGTTGGTTATTTTACCAACAAGATCATGGACAAAGTTAATATTGAAAGGCCTACTATCATATTACTCGTATCCATCAATTAAATCCTTATTGGTAAAATATAGGTCCCCATAATATATATATATAGTATAATATATATATATATATATATATAGACATTAGTTAATCCCCCTATAATTAATACTCAATAATGATAAAAGTAATATGCTTGTAGATATTATGAATAGGATAAACTAATATATACATTATAACAACTAACAATAATTATTTCATAAACTATTATATTGGCAAATAACCCCTTTAACCTCACCTATTTTTGTGGGTATTAGTCCCACTATTGTTATTGGATAGGATAATTAATAAGGAGTAAATAATTACTAATGTATCTATTATATGCTATTAACCTTTTATAGGTCCTTAGGATTAACTATTAATTTATTAGTGATTATGTATCATAAATTATATCCTATCCATTGTATAACAATTGTATCTTAATCTATGGTATTCTAATTGAATAGTTATCAAAAGGTTAATTGATAACATAATATGGCATCATCGAGGCACTCATCCCATTAGTACATAATTGCTTAAATAGCCCTATATGACCTTATAAAGACATTAATGCTCATCTTAATTCTCTATAGTTGATAATCTACATGAGGGGTGAATATACATACACTATGACATACTTAGTGCTCTCTTATTGTCAATATATTCACCAGATATAAGAAATATATTAACCTGGTTATATTCATCCCTAACTAAAGTAACCCCTCATGTAGGGACTATAATATCAAGTTGGTATTATCGAGTCAACATGTAATTTTAAACTTTTATCATTATAACATGCCTTTTATGAAGGGTATGAGTAATAAACGTTACCCACTAATGGTCAATAACTATGATGTAGTTATCACATTCTACATCAGCAGAAGGGATTTAAACTATTACTATTAACCTCAATACCAATAGTTGGTCGGCTATTTTAATTAGAACAATTAGGTCTATATAATATTTGAGTTGGTAAACATTCTAAGTAACATAGATCTATATAATATATGATGGCTATATTATATAGAAATAATAATATAATGTACATACTACTTGGAACATCACTAGTTTTATTTTGAAAGTAAATAATTGTAACCCCTATATACGATTTACCTTTAATATGATTATTATTTAGCAAATAGTAGACCAAGTAGTGTATAGTATTTCCCCATAATGTTGTAGTAACCATGGTTCAATGGAGAGATCGCAGGATACTATCATTTACTTGTAAGTATTCTAAGCATACCACTTGGCCAATTGATTATCCCGATTACAATAGTGACCTATGGATACCAAGGTATATAGTATAAATAATAGTGAGCCACCTTGGGCCATCAACATATTGATAGGTAATCTTTTCTTATAAGAATAGAAATACTCTAAATGGACTAATTATGGTTATGGGTTAATATAGTTGTTAACATATATATACAGATCCTAATTAGGCATAGATGGTCTTTAGGGATGTATTTCATGTATATTTTGTATCTTAGGATAATTACAAATAAGATTATTTATTACTAGAACCAAACCCTAATGTATATTAAATGCCAAATCAATCATAATGTGCATATCATAATAGGTGGTTAAAAAATCAATATAAATGTGAGATCGAGTGGGGAATTAGATTGGTCAATAACCAAGGAATTTAATATACAAAATTGTGTCAACATAGTACTTGGTAATATGCCCAAGATAGTAAATATATACCCTATAGGTGATTTAATGTTATGTTATTGATGCCTTATATTTAGAACATTTATTATACGGTGGTCAACATGGAGTAAGTCACTTACTAGGTGCTGAACTTGGGCAAAGTATCTAATTGACACTCATGTATATATTAATGAGTATTAAGTAATTATAGATATACCTATATGATACTTATGCATATTAATCTTACAAACCAAAAGGTTATACAAATGATTTATCAGATTATAGGCCTCTAGTTCAGCCTATTAACAATAGTTGACATCACTTATGCCCTAATTATGTATTATCCTAACTATCTTGATAATCTTCTATACTAGCAACATCAACAAATTATCTAGTTGTAATCCCTTATATATTGTAGCCAATGGGGTATAAGATGCACAAAGTGATTAATACTTGGAGATATCGGGGGTAGACATTAAGCATATGATATCGAGAGATTAGGTATAAAAGATTAGATATTCTAGGCCATATATCAAATGAATGGAAGAGTACACAAGATATGTAGGTGTTCATCCACCTATGATTGAACCTTGTGAGTCAACTCTATAAATAGGGGCTACTATTCAAGTGGTTGAATTGAATATGAAATGGTATAGCCATTTTGGTTAAAAAATAGAGTAATAACTTGAAGATACTATTAATCATAAACAAAAGAGTTATATTAACCTCATGCTTCCTAGATAAGCCTATTACTTAAGAGGGGTAATAGTGAGATCAATGTTGTGAGAGATAGGGAATTCATGCGGATTAGGATAACATTATGATGATAACTTATGTACCAATTAGGGTCATTAACATAGTTTAGTTAAACATATGGATTATACCGAAAAAATAGTCTATTCAGATTCCTGTTTATGAGTTAACCCTAGTATGCCATACATATTATGTACCGACCTTAGTGACCAACCTAATAACTTACGCATACCCACATAGTTATTGATCGAATAGTAATTGTTTAACCTAATTAGAGTTTTGATATTTAATTATCAAGCCATTACTTAAGTCATTGATATACATATCAAAGTTATTAACATAACTCTAATAGATCTAGCATAGAGGAATTAGCATGTTTTGGGGAAATACCTCTTATTAATGACTATTGATTAATTATAGTTGTTCAATACTAAGTTCTATCATATACCTATTATGGTAACCATATATAGCAAATTGTATGTCTCTATAGAGTCTATTTAGTAAAATACATACCTAGCCAGAGCTAATAGATTCATAGATTAGGATGAACAAGATTTACTCGATCTCTTATATTGTAGGGAAATAACTTAGTTCGATATAATCCCACCTATAACCTTAGCCTTACCTGCCATTAAAATAACTTATTAAAAGAAATCCATTCTTATTTGTGGATTCTTACCATAGTAAATTCCCCAACCCTATAATCCATTAGCCCTTGTTTAGGCTACCTAGATGATATCATATAATGGGTACCTAATATAAGCCTAATTGGGAAGAGAGTGATATATATTAGTTATTTTATATGTAGACCTCATGGGCGGTATTAAGGGGGATTATAAGGAGATAATCACTTATTTGATCAACCTTAATATAACAATTATATTACGCATGGAATAATGGCTCCCAATATGTCTAAACATGGAGATTAATTAGAATAATATGATTATATCACTAATAGATTATATCCTAATGATTATATGTCCATTGTTTATCGAGAGGTAACTCGTTTACACTGTTGTTGATCCCTCATCATAGATAACCATTAATATCAATTATATAGATTAAAATAATGTCATGACCTAGGAAATACTAATAAGATTAAAGGCTATATTAATTATCTTACGTTAATATAGGGAGAATTCGTATAGTGGACTATACAAGCTGATTTGCCTATAGTATAAACAGTGGCCTATGAATATTACTCCATATCTTATTGGATATGTAAGGACCAATATATGATGGTTGCAAATTATCGTTAATTCCTAGTTGATAATTATAGGGAAATAGTAAGAACATTAGTTACCACATAATCCTAGGCTTATTAATGTTAGTCATTGGTAATATTGGGTACTTTCTAAATGGATTAAAATATTTCTACCTTACTAATTCACCTCAAAGATGACCATTGGGCTAACTTAGTTAATCGTAAATCCATGGTATTTAATCACAATGGAAATTATAACGGGCATAACTAGCTGAATTATTAATAGAGAATAATTACTATTGATGAATAACTATAAATACATGGTCTCCATTATAATGTACATTATGCCTTGTACAAAACCAATATAAGCCCTTATGGATATTTATGTATAATTATTCAACCTATCCTTCATGGTATGACCTTATGAAAAAGCTAACCCTCTATAGCCAAATAGTTAATTAAGTAACTATAATACAAATAGGAGAAATTGATTAGGGCATTAGGTTAATATAATTATTATGTATAATGGCCATATCACTACTTAAATTACCCTTATTAGATTACTTGGTAATTATAAATCTAAATTTACAAATAATTTAACTCTTCCTGGATATATGCCATATGTTTACCAATTAGCATCCAAACCTTGATTTAAATACATGGGTTTTTAACTCCTATTACGCTACTATAATGTTTATACTCTCCTAGGTGATCATGGGAGGTGAATTACCCTAATGATAATCAATTATAGCTGATAACATAGTCCCTTTAGTGACAACTATCCCATAGGGAGAATATCTACTTATGGTGATAACATATTAAGATAGTTATGCCCAATATGTTCACTTTATAGAGTACTAATGGGTTAATATATCAAGTTTTCCTATTGTTAATGTAGGTTATGAAGATATTATATTGATAACACAATGATAACCCATGATTAATACTTATAGTTGATCAATATTAACCTCATTCTAAAAATGAGACTAATGTTAGATGTTAATGATAATAGTTGTCATCCCTAACTTATAAATACATGGTCTCCACTATAATGGATTAGTCTATTTATTACTATTAAATAGGGCTATCTTAAATAACCGAGAGAGAATGAGTTAACAAGAAAGACATTACTAGTTTTCTTACATTTGAGGATTAGTCATTTAGTGAGGGTTTATAAAATATCTTAACTCATTATTTCCTCTTAAGAAATGTACCTACCAACTATTAAATTAGTTAATATAATATTGTCCTTGAGGATCAATCATATATGGTAAACCTAAATATAGTGGTACATAATATACTTAGTTAATTCGTTCAACACTAATATACATCAGAATATATAGTGGGCTAATCACCATTCGATCAACCTAATAGTGGCCCATACTATGGTTTAACTTGTAAGAGGATATTATCATTATAGTTATGATAACATATAATGGAAGGGACTCAATTATTTGGTTATAATCCAACTAATCCCTTCATATAGTGATATCATAAAATGGGTACCTGATATTAATACTTCGGCTACAAAAATATTAAATGTTTACATATCATTATCATAACTATAATTATGAGAGATTATAATAAAGAAATTAACATAGTAAAATTGCCTAGATAAACAAATAGGTATTTATATAGAAAAATTCTAATTTGATAAATATTGTAAGTTATGATAACAAGAGGGACACGACATTATTATTGGGACCAAAATGTAATAAGTGCATTATATGTTAAATTTATTGTTAGGATAAGAACTCTCTTAATAGATTAGGTAATATGGAGGCGTACCCCACTCCAATATCATTCCATTTGGAAAAGGCAATAAGTCTCTTTTAGGAAAGGGACCATTAACTTGAGTTAATGATTGATCGGGTTTATATAATCTTTGATATTGGAGTGAATATTTATGGCCCTATATATTAATTAGGTACATAATCAAATGATATAAAATGTACGACCATCTTAACTATCTTTATAATGTTATAGTAGCTGATAACATTGTCCCTTCAGTATACATTATTCATATTAATAATCATATTGATTTATAATGTTATTATAATAACACTTAATTAGCTGATAACATAGTCTCTTCTAGGAATGATCTAATACAATTATCCTCCCATAGGTAAATAAGGCCCATGTTAATAGTAGTTGAACTATTATAGGATATATTACCATATTTTTATAATACTTAGTGGGAATGGGCCACTATATAAGTTAGGGACTTATATAGACCAAGATGATTTCGATAATACCAATATTAGTAAACTATCATAGGTGGCCTAAAGGATTTTATTTAGAACTACCTATGGTTAACTCCCCATTAATAATAGTTCAACTAAGCTGAAACAAAGTGGACCTTACTAATCATGTATTATAAATAATCATCCTTTATAAAATTTAAATCCCTATATTATTCTTCCTCCATCTTAAAAGGGAATCAATACCAATTATTGGAGTGAACATCTTAAGGAATGGATTTGAACTACTCTTTTTATGTTGCTTTATGTATGTGTTTGTACTATTATAAATCAGGTGAGAATATATTATTCCCTTACTTTATATATCTATCAATATATATTTAACCAATAATAGGTATTGATTATTTATAATATTAGGGGTGAACGAGGCTAGATAATAATTACTGAATTATCCTATAAGTTATAACGTATCCGTGTTTCCCATATGTTATAGGTATGGCAAATTGATAGTAATAATTCCAAAATGTTAATTGACATATATGGAGTGGAACTTTAATGAGGGGATCAAACTAAAGCCATTATAAATTAACTTACCATCAATTATTGTTCCCCCTCCTAGGATATGGAGTATGGCATAAGTATATCAAGTAAGGGTATAACCTCAAGTAATTAACCTCCAATATACTATAATTGTACTAAATTGATAATATTACCCCATCGTTAAAGATAATTAAATAGGATAACTATTCCCATGATCATACTACATTTCATTTTATCCATTCGATCCTTAGTCCTCATTAATACCTATGATAGCTTACTAACATGGAGTATCAATTCACTAGTTTATATCATGGTGAGCTATAGGTTTAACCCCATTTATGTGATTAATCGTTCCTATCTTTAGATAAATTCTTTATCCCATATCAATCCCAATTATTTATGGTCCTACTTTGTAGGTATGCTTATATACTATCCACGATAGTATAATATCGATCAATTATAATAACATAATTTATAGTAAGGGTGAGTGAGGTATGGAAGAAAGATATTAATCCTTATTCTAGTTAACATTATATACTTGATAATCCACCCAAAACTTAGCCTAATAGGATGCCCTATAGCTATAATAGTTTATAATCTTGGACATGACATATATAGGGAAATATATTTCTAGAAAGTGGTATTAGTAAATATACTAACCAAACAACCAAATTATCATTAGTAATAGTGATAACTACGAAGCGAGTAAGAAAAGACATTATTGGCTTATGTTTACCCAATAAAGGATATTTGAAATATAAAATATAGTGATATATTGAATAGATTATAAGTCAAAGAGAAATATTTGACCCACAAGACATACTCTATCCTTGGTTATATTGAGATAGGGTTAAACTATTACAAACATAAAATAAAGCCATATTTGAGTAATCCTCATGGATCCCGAATAGGGTATATGTATCTATTTACTTATAAGTTATTAATCACCTTGGCCTCATTAGTAATAGGTGTTGAACATGGGCAAAGTATATTAAGGATATTTTATGTTTGGCTTTGTATTGTTTATATAAAGTCTATAGATTTTGTTAAAATTCATGTCTAACATGGTAACTTAATAATTTTATTAGTTATATTAGTGGTAAGTATTATCACCTTTCCATTAACTATGGAGAGGTGAGGGCTTACTATAGAATAATGAGTGAGGTCCCTCTATCCTTGTCATTTTGTTCCATGATAACTTTAGTTATCTAGTTGGATACCTATGAATTTTCTATTATAACATAACTTACTCTAATTAACTTATATAGATGGAGTTTACTTAAAATTTTAGGTTCTCCATGGAGTATATCAAATATTTCCGTATAGGGTTACTAATAGGTAATTAATTCAGTTAACTAGAGTAAGTTATGTTAGTTAATTATGACATCAAATGTGGTTATAGGTATTAGTACCATTATATCCCATGGAAAGATTATAATAATATGTAGGATGAGAACCACCTCATAGTAAACCCAAAGGTATATATTAGGTTGTTCTTATTTGAGAGATCATCTATCGTGAGTGATCATACATTTATACATGCCCATTAGATATTACTTAACGATTAATAGGCATAATTGCTAGTATACATAACCAATTTATATTTCTCAATTATATAAAGTGATCCCTCGAGATATTAGTCCCCCTAATAGGCCCATAATATTCTCCCTCGGTAAATATCCATAGAGTAGTGTATTATCACCTGGATAGATTTGTTCCATATAAAAACCCTCCATATAAATCCCAATGGAGGCTATAATATAAATATACGAGTTAAATATATGATCACTCATGATAAGATCAAGTATGGACCAATAATATCAACTATTTTAATGTACTCATACTATAGTATTGTTAATAATAGCTAATTAAACCATTAATAATATACCATATTATCTACGAGGTGACCAATCGGAGCCTCATTATCCAATTATCAAACTCTCTCCTTGTTTTAATCACCATATGCTATCATTTAAAGCAAGATCATGGAATAAATAATCTCTGTAGTAAACTTATATGCCCTCACTCCATCAATAAATCAAGCATTATTCATATTGTCTCTATATAACCATTATAAGGGTATCTATTCTTACTTTACTAGTATATATCCATTAATATGTTGGTGACCGATGCAATAGGGACCAATTGGGCACCTTTGCTTCTAATAAGTATGGACATACTCATCACTAGTCTAAAATAGAGAGAGATAGGGCCTCTAAATTGGCAATTATTAGGAATTAATAAACTAATAATTCTAGATATTTAGTATAGATCGTAGACCATAGAGTCAAAATATTAATTAAAAGAGGGAAAGTATTAATTGGTTAATTATGTCACCTATAGACTTTATATTTAGGGTAAGACATATTTTCATGTATCTATGCATAGTTGGGATATAAATTATGGTCAAATCCTATTTTAATTATGCCCCTATAATAATGGTCTATAGGTTATAACCCGAATAATTATCGATTTCATTATCCGGACAATAGATTACCCATGTATAATATTGGTTATACCATTAAGCATAACTTAGGGAGTTTATGATAAGCTATAGAGGAATACATTAGAGAGTGTGTATAGTTGATTATTAGTCACCTCATAATATCTAGATAGTAAAGGTACATGGCCAAACTTCCATTAGATATATAGAGGTGAATTATATAGCCACTAAATTTGACCAATGTCCAAATATACTCTCGTAATGCTAGAAATATGATAGGGTGTATTATTCCCTCATGATGTTATCGGAGAAGAAACTTGATAGTAAATAGAGTAATTACCATATATTCACAGGATATGTGACCTAGTATTAATTATTAGCATTACATAACAAGGAGAATATTATAGGCCTATTAGGGAGGACTAATATCTCGAGGGATCACTTTATATTATTGAGAAAGATAAATTGGTTATTTATACTAGTAATTATGCCTTTTAATCTATTAAGTAATATCTAATGGTCATTTATAAATGTATGATCACTCACGATAGGTGATGTCTCAAATAAGAATGACCCAATGTATACCTTTCGGTTTACTATGAGGTATCATCCTATAATTCAACATCTAGTGTTTGCCACTAAGTATGTTGACCTCTTACCCTAAATATAATTATCATATTATCACATGATAGGGTGATAATATAATTATGAATATTATAGGAAGGTACCATATATGATAACGAATTATGATGAGTACATTATCTATTGTCATAATTGATGTGTAAATATATTATCAGTTATAAAATATATTCTTATTAAGATTAGTGATAATTATATTGCCATTCCCTGCTATTTGATACCAATGATATAGATAGGTGATTGATCGATACCTAACCATGTATCCTATTACCTTAGGATAAGTCATCCCTAATCACTAGTATATCTTAGGCCATCTTTTATCACTATAATGTTTTCTATATTTAAAGTTAGTAAATGAGAGAAGCTAATGATATGTTAACCCATATATAATGAGAGAACAATACAAATTTCATGGAACCTTATCAAATTAAGGTTAGTTAATTTGATAATATTTGACTAAATGAGTAGATAGGTAAATTATAAGGAATAACTATCTATAGATAAGATGTTAGAGAATATCCTATTTACTAGGGAGGTGAACTACATATAGAAATAATTGTGATGGGTCAACAATTAAACTATCATTGGAGACCATTTATGGTCAATGTGACATTATATATGACTTAAGTAGAGTAATTTTATAGTAATGAATAGATATTTGGGGATAGCTTAATTAGTGTTGGAATTTTTAGGCTATATTCTAATGAGCGAATATCACCAAGTTATCTCGGTTTTATATAATACAGCAGTTCATACATTAAACTATGCATAAATGGGCTATATCAACGTAACCCTAATATTATGCGTAATGATTCAAATTGCTTACTAAATATATATTAAAATCCCTATATACGTTGGCTTATTTTATGAACCACTATTAGATTAGGTATGGTAGTATAGAATTAGCCTATATGCCTAACATAACTTACTCTAATTGGATATAATACTTATTTACTATGCTCTATATATAGTACCATGAGAACGCTTGATAATAATTGGTGCCCACTATAATTAGTCAATCATGTCAATGATGAAGAGGATTGAAAGGGATCTCTCACCAATTAATTGGATAAGATGTTAAGGGTAATAGACATTTCATTATTTCCTAAATGGGGTATATGCAACATATTAGAATAATTATATTATAGGGTAATTATTCTATTACCATGATATCCGACAGGGCTTATTAATTATACTTCTAAACCATTTAAATAAGATTAAAGAGTGATTATAGAAACCTCATTAATAATCTCATAATTGGGTTGGTTTAGAGGTATAACAAATTCCTCTACCCCTAAGTTAACATAATATTAGTAGGTTATAATAATCGGTGGGGATATAATGTGACTAATTGTATAAAATAATAAGTGTATAGGAAATACCTTACCTAATTTGTTAGTAATAGAGGGTTTATATAATCTATATCTAAAAAATGCTCCCTATTGTAACTAGAATGATGAAATTAACTTTTATTGATCATAAATTAGGTTAAACCCACAAAGAATATATTAAGTGATTAATATATTATCATAACGGGTGATATAGTCTAATTACTTCTGAACTATAAAATATAATGACCACCATATTATAGTTATTACAACCACTATGAGGTTGGTTAATAATAACCCACAAGTATCAATCTCCCTACCTTAATAGTTAGGTATGTTCATAATAAACTGTGTAAGAACAATAAAGGTCCAAAATGGAAATTATAACACTATTAGTATGCCATTTGTGAGACTTCAATAAGGTCACTTAAAATTAGGGCCTCTACTAAGGATGGGGTATAGACCTAGTTATTTCCGAAGTATCATATGGCATACTATTAATAATAGTGTATCCTAAGATCACGGTTATATAATGGGCCATAAAATAATTAGGTATCCATAACGATAGCTATTATAGGATGATCAAGATTAATACTAATATCCAATGGGGATTTTTTTCTATAATGTATGATCATTAGGCTAGAGTTTTACGGAAACTCTTAATATAATAATAGTGAAATTATTATCAACCATAATTAGTTTATGGGAAAAGGTCTCTCTCTACAATTAGAGTGTAGAGTTTGCTTAAAAGGGGTATAAACATTCCTAATATGGGTCTAATATTGATATCAAAATCTAAGCTAGAAGCACATTATTTCTAGTAACTATCAATGGATTAAGTTATAGAATTGGATAAGTTAATTATCCCTATTGATGTAAACCATGACGATCTATTAACTGTCCCATTAGGATTATAAATGCATATTGACCTAATCTATATCATTATAAGATTGAACATAAATGATGCATATCATAGATCGACTAGGTAATAACAAGGTAAAATTTTAAGGGATGTGCTTACGAACCAGATCTCTATAGTGTGACATTGAATGCCAATCTTAATATAGGAAATGATTTATGGGGAGAGGGGTAATATAGGATTATTGGAAAAATTAATCTTGATAACCATGTTTTCATTTATATCATTACTAAGGCTATTTCTAATGGAGGATTTTGGTTAATGGATGATATAGGTTGTCACCACAAGCATTAAGAACATATAATAGGTTATAATCATATGCTCGACAAAAATAATATTCTCAATTGTGCCTATAAGTATTTACACCTCTTAGTGAATTACAGGCTGAGAAACGATAATTATATTCTCTCGTATAGGTAATAGGACTTTGATGGTTAAATTATTAGTATAATTCATAACATAACAAAGATATACTTCTAATTCACTCAAGCCTTCACGATAAGCTCATCCAACACACTCATCCTATCTTGGATTATGTATAAGTGGGAAATATCCTCTCATGATAGATCATATATATGGTCAACTAGCTTTAATTCTGAATTATCTACTAATTACGATTGGTTAACCTCAAGTGATAGAGATATCATATTGTGAATTATAATCATAATCTTAATAGTTCTAATTGTATTATAATGATACTATTGATAATTGACGGTGGGATAGTCCTCACTCATTTCACATAAAATTAAGGATATTGTATAGTAGATTTATGGCTTAAATGGTTAATCTCCTAGGTGTAACCCTCGTAAAAACCCTTATCCGTAACGCGACGTGT